TTGGGAAGAAAAACCTGCAGCATCCTTATAGCCTCGGCAGTGCTATGTTGGCCAACACTGTTCAAGAATGAGACTTGGGGGTCACCATTGACCACAAGATGAACATGAGCCTGCAATGTGATGCTGCAACTAGTAAAGCAAGCAAACGCTGGCTTGCATCCATAGATGCTTCTCAAGCAAATCCCGGGACGTCATTCTCCCCTTGTACTCGGCCTTGGTGAGGCCGCAGCTGGAGTACTGCGTCCAGTTTTGGGCTCCACAATTCAAAAAGGATGTGGAGAAGCTTGAGAGAGTCCAGAGAAGAGCCATGCGCATGATCAGAGGTCAGGGAAGCAGACCCTACGATGACAGGCTGAGAGCCCTGGGGCTCTTTAGCCTGGAAAAGCGCAGGCTCAAGGGTGATCTGATGGCAAGCTATAAGTTTGTCAGGGGTGACCACCAGTATCTGGGGGAACGTTTGTTCACCAGAGCACCCCAAGGGATGATGACTAGGTCGAACGGTCATAAACTACTACAAGACCATTTCAGGCTGGACATAAGGAAGAATTTCTTTACTGTCCGAGCCGCCAAGGTCTGGAACAGCCTGCCACCGGAGGTGGTTCAAGCGCCCACATTGAACACCTTCAAGAGCAAACTGGATGCTCATCTTGCTGGGATCCTATGAACCCGGCTGACTTCCTGCCCTTTGGGCAAGGGGCTGGACTCGATGATCTTCTGAGGTCCCTTCCAGCCCTAATATCTATGAAATCTATTCATCTTTTAGTTTTCTTCCCCAACCCTGTGTCAGTCCTTAGGGATTCTAAACTTTATGGACTTAATGTAGGAAGGGTCTTTTATTATTATCTCAATAGGGCAAAAACATTGGGGAACAGACTTATACTATCCATGGCCGTTGCTGAAATGGTCAGACAGTTTTACAAAGATTATTGAAGTGGATCCCAAGCCTAATTAGTTGTTATAAGCCAGTTGGGTTAATCCACGTAGATCTCATTCCACTGGGAGCCAGGCACCCACATATTTATAAGACTTTTTTTTTCTGAAGAGACTTTCAGATTGGATACCCATTTTGGAAGACTGTTCTGATGTCATTGTTTAAATAGGACTCTTAATACCCATTTCCAGACAAATGGCTGCCTGTTAGTCATCAAGAATGGAATACATGTGGGCAATCAGTTAAAGAGGAATGGTTTATTAAGTTATATTAATGGGTTCCTCATGATGTGTTATCCAAGTGGATTCCAATATCTGCTGTCCTTTCTTGCTGTTAGGGCCCCTATTTCTGTCTCTGGGATTCTGCATTTTTGAAGGAACAAAGAATTGTTTAAATCTACTTTGTCTTATACAGGGTCCTTGTGCACTTTTAAACTTCAATAATTTAGGTTGTAGGTATGATAGAAACAATCTATAAACAGCATTTAAAAGCAAATTTATTAAAGTTTTAGGACAATTAGACTACACAATGCTAGACTTCATAAATAATAACTAATTTATTATTAAATAAGATGGAGCTCCATGCCACTACGCTCTGAATGCATGACAGTTCCTAAATGACATTGTCCCACAGAAGTGGATAGGCAGAGGTGGGCCAATTGCTTGGCCACCTCATTCACCTGACCTGTCACTGTTGGACTTCTTTTTATGGGGATCTGTTAAGTGTAGTTTACTTGTTAAAACCATGTTCTTTGGTGGAACTTAGGGCTAGGATCACCAACACAATTAGTGCAGTAACTCAAGAGCAACTGGGAAATGTTTTCAAGGAGTTGGAAGATTGCATTGAGCACTATATCATGATGGATGGTGATTATGTTGAAGTATAGCATTGTGTACTCTAGTTGTCCTAAAACTTTAATAAATTTGCTTATAAATGCCGTTTACAGATTGTTTCTATCATACCTACAACCTAAGTTATTAAAGTTTAAAAGTGAACAAATACTTTATGAAGACCCTGTATATCCTTAAGCCAGGGGCTTAAGATCTTCTAGGGTTCAGGCATAACTTCAAGCAATGCTAATGGCTAAAGAAATCCTACCTTGCCCACATGGGATGCATGTATACACACCAAAAGTAGAGACTATATGGAAAAGGTATCTTGATGACTAAGTTACTATAGTTTTTACATTTTTAATTGAATTTCTTTTTATATCATTATCTTGTTGCAAAGAAATATTGAGGATACTGGTTTTTATTAACTTGTAAAATATATATATATTTCTAGGTGAAAGATTTGAACAATAAAATACCTGCTCAAGAGAATGAGAACAACAATTTATTCTCTTCGTGTTCTGAAGTGATTACAATATGTGAAGATTTAGTAAGTTTTTAAATGTTTTAATGAATTACACATTTAATGAGTTTGTGCATTCTCTGTTAATTTTAAATGATCTTTAGAGCATATTCAAATTACCTTAATGTTTCTTAGAAGTCTGGTTGGGAATCTGAAGTATCAAATATGAAGCAAACCCTCCTCAATACCTTTCAAGTAGTGAATGATTTGGAATGTGAAAATAAAGGTTTAGCGAGAGAAAATGAAGTATTTCTGCAAGAAATCAGAGACAGGTAATTAAAACATTAATGAATACCTGCAATGTAAATAGAAAAGGGATCAATTTTGAATAGAATAAGTATTATTCTGCCTCTAAAAACAGCACTGTTGATAAGAATTTTCATGATTTTAATTCACAACAAGCTGAAATTTAACGTTTAAATTTTTGGCCTTCTATTACAAACCCCTAGCCCTAGCCCCCCCCCCCCCCTCCCCCAAAACA